CTGTTTCAAGTATGTATTTGGCAATAGAGGATGATGGATATTTATCCTCTACTCTTATAAAGTCATTTGATTCTATTTGTCTGTGCAACCATTTAGTTACATGTTCATACACCCTAATTTTGTGATCGCATCTACTCTCTATTTATATGTGGCTACACACACACACACAATTATATTCCTAAATACAGTGAGATGTGACGAGATCGTTTTCATGTCTCTTAGGTGTTCGATGAAGTATAGACCTTGTTCTATACTGTCTGAAATGTTTCAAATGATGTCGAGAAAATATTTTTTGTCATCATACATTAAAAAATGTTATCTTAAATGTGTTAAATACTCAATTTTTTCTCAGTAGGTCGTTAATATCAGACAAATCGATACTATTTATTAATTACATTCATAAATTCTTAATCCTGAAACTAATTTTAACTTAGCGATACACTACATTTTATGGATGAACTAATCAGTTAGCATCTCTGACATTTTTTGCGCGAAATTTGTTCATCCATATGGTTATAAAGCATTTTTACATTATAAGTGATGTTGATTTGTGATGAAAACTTTAAACCCCTAATCCTTACTTTAAATCCTTTGTCCTAACTAGAAACAATGTAGGGACTTAGAATTATGTTATTTTTCTTTACATGCTCTAAGGTCATGCTTGCAACAATATATAAACAATGGAGCAGTAGCTTACTGGTTAAGGCGTTTGACTTTCAAACACTAAGTCATAGGTTCGAAAATCATTCCATCTACTTCGGTTTGGACAGCTGCGCTGCAGTATCCCACTTAATATATGGCTCATATTCAAGTACCTGGAGAATAAGTTAATTTGACTAATAATGATATAAACAGGTTTGTCCTACTACAGTTTTGAATATAAAACTTATGAAAGTTCCGTTTATAATAGTGCAGAATCATACCGTCTAACCAAGCAGAATAAAGAAGGCGACTTCAAGGAAATGGGAGATTTATTGGTGTAGAGGGACCTTTATCTAACTATATGAAACTCAGGATATTGACCATGAGCTGGGAATTTCGGCAAAAAAACAAGATGGATCGCTAACACCAGCACTTAAGTATGAATGCGGTAATGAAATGACGGTTCATGAATGTAGAAAACATAAAATGGTGTGATCTTTCACTGCAATGTTCGCTGAGGTTAAAATTATTACTTAGTGTTGGAATCACAGTAAAACTTCGTGTCAAAGGTCAGGATTATGATTGAATTAAGACTATGGTTAAAATTATGTTAATAGTTCGGAATAGGGGTTAAGACTGAGGTTAGTTTTATGAAATTAAGTCTAGGTCCTAATCTTTAATCGTAACTCTAATCGTATACTCTAGCAGTTCAGAATCAATAACAAGCAAAGTTAATCAGTCATGTTCAAAGAATATCCTTTCTGTAAATTCTTTGACTTCGTATTGTAACTCGTTTCTGATTGGCTGGGATGAGTGATTTTTACAAGGTCATTCGGTAGTATAGTTTAACAACTACAATCCCATCTCCCCTTGATTCACGTACGAATTATTTGGATTGAAGTGTAGTAGTGTATAAGTCATCTGATCTTTCTATTTCTGGTAGATCCCATTTCTTATTTAGGGGATCTTCCTCACGTTTTTTAAATTTGGAACTACACTTTAGATTATCTATCCCAAATCATAACAGTTACAATCATTCATAATCATGTATTTCAATCGTAAATTTTAGAGAAAGCATTATGTGAATTTTTCTCTGGATTTTGGTGTCTTCAATCTTTATCTACTTCTAATACTACGTCAACTAATCATCATCACCAGGACAACCAAAGTAGTCTTATATCATCGTCTACGTCAATGTCGTCCTCACCACTAACACCATTAGCGAATCAATCTAATATCTTATCAAGTAAACATCCTATTTGTGTTCAAGCTACAATGCTGTGTGATAGCCTTCCAGATTGTGATTTGAGAGTGCCTATGAATGAAGTTAATTTATCACAGGATGAAGCAAATTGTAATATGATCCCATCAAATTATTCCCTGAAAACATCTAAATTATGTAAGTTACTATTTTGTTTTGTTTTACCAGTGTAGAGTTATAAATGAAGCATTACGTGCATACATGTTCACCTCATAGGTGAATTCATTGGTTTTATTTTGATAACTAGTGATACAGTATAATTCTCTTGACTAAATCAGCTAAATAGGTTCGAACATATAATCTGATACTCATGAGTTATTTGGTTAATTCATAGTTTGATCAGCGTTGTAGTTGTTGCATGTGATGAAAGGGTGTTTGTTTGTGAAGAAAGCAGGTGGTCTTGAGTCATGTCACAAGTATTCCGGCGTTTCCCTACACCATGGTAAAGTACATCTATGAGTACCTTGAAACGAGACTGGATTAGGATTGGTTATGATGAGTTGGGATTGTGATTGCAGTAATCTAGGGATAACGACTTATCTGTATTCATTCGTTGACCAATCATGGCTTGCTTTCACCTGACACCTAGTATCTGTTCTGTGGCATCTTTTTCAACTACGGTAACAATGAAAAAGTCACATATCTTCATAATTCTTCTTATTGTGATGAAACCAGGTTACACACAGGGAAACATATGTTAGTACTCATTTTTTGTGAATTTTTTTTCTGGTTAGTGTTTTTTAGGGAGTTCGTTTTCTACGGGATGGGGTCGCTAACCCTATGCCCAACTCTCCTCCTTTACCCGGGCTTGGGACCGGCAGTAACTCTAAAAGAGCTAAGATAATGTGTAGTATTCATTTTTTGACAGGGGAAGGTATATAGACGAATTTAAACATTTTAGCCAATCAGAAAATTGTTGGGCTATGAAATGATTCCTAGTAAAATAGTTATAAAATTACAAACGATTAAAAACTTGGGCATCATTAATAAACACTTATGTGTGAATTATTACTTATAGTAAATGAAAATATGTTGAAATTACGGGCGAATAAAAATATTTCCATTTACCACAATATACTACTGTTATGCATTAATACAACCTGACACGAGATTATACTACCTCTATACTGAATACTCGGTCGATAAGCTATACACAGACTGGAATCACGTTATATCAGATAATTGATTTGCGACTGAATCTACTGAACTAGAGTAATAGATCAAACAATAGATTTATTCGACACAAACACTAGTGCTTCATACACAGTGAATCCAGTGTAACAAACAATGATAGAGGAGAATTCATGTTTTTGGTGGTGTTTTGTTCTCTGAGCTGGATGGTTTGGTCGTGGAGCTTTCATCGTTCTTCTGAACGACATCATCAGCACAAACTTCAGATAGAAGTGAAGTGTTCGAATTTCTCCATATGTGTTTCACAGCTTGTTCTGTGCACCTCGATGTTGATTGGTTCTTGTTGACCTTAAATTTATCATTGTTTACTTCTTTGTTTTGGTTGTGTCTCCCATTGGTTTGATTTTTGTTCCTATATTTATGCATGATTTTCCTGATTGGTTGATAAATTGGATTGATTTCAATATGTTTGTTGATTGCTGATTGACCTGAGTGCCAAGCTTCTAAAAATTCTCTGGTGTTTTTGGAGTTTCCTCTATCTAAGATTTCTACATTTTCCCAATCGAATGAATGTCCGTAGTTATCCACGTGTATTGAAATAAGTGAAGAGATATCATGGCGTTTGACTGCTAATTGATGTTCATGTAGGCGTAGGTGGAGGGGGCGTCCGCTTTGTCCGATGTAGTGTTTGTCGCAGTTGGTACAATTTATTTTGTAGATGATGTTTGATTTGTTTTCCTTTGTTATTTCATCTTTTGGTTTGCATAGGATTGATTGTAATGATTTTGTTGGTTTGTGTGCCACACCTATCCCGAAGGTTTTCAGCAGTCTCGTTGTGGTTTCTGATATTCCTTGTATGTACGGTAGGGTGATCCTTTTGTTGATTTTTGTGTTTGATTTGGGTTCTGATGCTGTGTGCCGTTGGTGCTTTTTGATGAAGTTGATTGGGTAGCCGTTCTTTTGAAATATGTCCTTCAGGTATTTCTCTTCATTTTTTCGTGCTGCCAGTGTGTTGCAGTGTGTCCTCGCCCTCTTGAACAAAGTGTGTACGCAGTTGATTTTGTGAGCTCTTGGATTGTTGCAACAAACATATTGAAATCAATCCAATTTATCAACCAATCAGGAAAATCATTTAGTTTCAACTGTTTCTTCCCTTAAAATTTCTCATCATCATTCCAATAATCGCATACAAGCTTTATAGATCTTTAGTCTTATCATGTTATGAAATTCCAGCTTCTAAATAACAAAATATTGATAAACATTCCTCAGTTTCTATATAACTCTCAACAAGTTAAAAGCTAACCGTTATGGCGTCGTGAATTTCGCGCTAAATTTCTGATGACTGCCATCTTAAGTCTGATTGGGTCGTCCATATACTTTATTCCTACCACTATGATTATTATTATTATTTCTATGCGTGTAAATGCATAATATTTTAAATATTTGTAATATTTATTGTGAAATGGATGTTTATAAATTATTGTGTTTTTTTTCATGCTCCACGCATATGTTTATGAACCCGTCAGCTAAAGACGATCATTGGATATCTAAATTACCATGGATAAGTAAGTATGAAACTTCTGTTATTGTAATTCTTCGTTATGTTTTCTAGAAAAAAGATAAACCTCTCTCTAGATGTTTCATCACTACGTTGGACTTTGTTTCTGTCTTAGCTATATTGAAACTAGGCTACTCTCTCATTAAGCCTAGCTTCGGTCGCATAATTATTACTTTAGATAACAATTTAATCTATATTCAGTTTTTTTTTCTTGAGATAGTGGGGATGATTTGTAGATCAGGTGAGTGATTTCGGCAGCAACAACCCTTAGAACTTACAAAATCAACTGTAAACAAACTTTATTCAAAAGGACGAGAACACACTACAGCACATTTACAGCGCAGAATAATGAGGAAAAATATCTAATAACTATCTTTTAAAATAAGGGATATCCACTTATCTTCATCAGAAAATATCAATCCAACTCATCAGCAGAAATGAAATGAAAAATACAGAAACCAACAAACGGATCATCCTATTTTATGTTGAAAGCATATCAGAAATTAAAATGAGATTGTTGAAGCCGTTTGGAATAGGTTTGCAGTGAACGTATACTAAGGTGGGGAAGACTAGTTCACTGTTTAATGCTAAATTAGTAAAATATGAAAACCATACAGTACATACTTCGTTTGCACATCTTTCATCAGTTGTCTCTTACAAACTTCATCGTTCCTTCATTCATGTTGTTATTACAATTAAACTCTGTTCACATTCCTGTTCATTTCAATTCCATATTGTCAATATTCCACTACCAGGCATTCTATTCCAGATTTGTGTTACGTACTACTTTTATCTGTCAATATAAGTAGCGTTACACCACATGGGTAACACATGAACCGGGGAAAACGCGTCAATCAATATTATGAGATCGTAAGGATGAAATGAAAAAAAAGAAAAAAACAAACATCTACAAAATAAACGGTTTTATTTGTGAGAAACACTTACTTACTTACTTACGCCTGTTACTCCTAATGGAACATAGGCCACTGACCAGTATTCTCCAACTCACTCTTTCCTGGGCCTTCTTTTCTAGTTCCATCCATTTCTTGTTCATTTTTCTCATGTCTATCTCCATTTCCCGGTGTAATGTGTTCTTTGGTCTTCCTCTTTTCCTTTGACCTTCAGGATTCCATGTGAGGGTTTGTCTTGTGACGCAGTTGGGTGCTTTCCTCAATGTGTGTCCTATCCACTTCCAGCACTTCTTCCTAATTTCTTCCTCCACTGGGATCTGGTTTGTTCACTCCCACAGTACGTTGTTGCTAATAGTGTCCAGCCAACGGATCCGAAGTATTTTGCGTAGACAACTGTTAATAAACACCTGTATTTTCTGTATGATGGCTTTCGTAATTCTCCAGGTTTCCGCCCCATACAGTAGAACTGCCTTGACATTTGTATTGAAAATCCTGACCTTGGTGTTGGTTAACAGACAGTTGCTTTGAGCTCCAGATGTTCTTCAGTTGTAAATATGCTTCTCTTGCTTTGCCGATCCGCGCCTTCACTGCATCAGATCCACCCTGTTCATCAATGATGCTGCCCAAATACGTAAAGGTTTTTACATCTTCCAAATCTTCTCCGTCAATTGTGATTGGATTGGTGCATTCTGTGTTGTATCGGAGAATCCTGCTTTTCCCTTTGTGTATATTGAGACCTACTGCTGCTGAGGCTGCTGCCACACTGTTCGTCTTCTCCTGCATCTGTTGTTGCGTTTGGGATAGAAGGGCCAGATCGTCTGCGAAGTCTAGATCATCCAACTGCATCTTAGATGTACATTGTATCCCGCGCTTCCCTTCAGACGTTGATGTCTTCATGATCCAGTCGATCACCAGGAGAAAGAGAAAGGGTGAGAGTAAGCAACCTTGCCTAACACCGGTCTTCACTTTGAACGACTTTGTCAACTGTCCTCCATGCACGATTTTGCAGTGTAATCCATCATATGAGTTCTGTATGATATTGACTATCTTCTGAGGCACGCCGTAGTGTCGAAGAAGTTTCCATAGTGTTGTTCTGTCCACGCTATCAAATGCCTTTTCGTAGTCAATGAAGTTGATGTAGAGTGATGAATTCCATTCCATTGATTGTTCCACAATGATCCGTAGAGTTGCGATTTGGTCTGTACACGATCTCTCCTTACGGAATCCTGCCTGTTGGTCATGAAGTTGGACGTCTACGCAGTCCTTCATCCTGTTTAACAATACCCTGTTGAAGACTTTTCCCGATATTGAGAGAAGAGTAATGCCCCTGTAGTTATCACACCTGCTGAGATCGCCTTTCTTCAGTATTTTGATCAGAAGTCCTTCTTTCCAGTCTTTTGGTACTTGTTCCTCATCCCAAATCTTATTGAAGAGAATGTGGAGTATCCTTGCAGTTGCCGCTACGTCTGCCTTTAGTGCCTCTGCTGGGATGTTGTCCGGTCCTGTTGCTTTGCCACTCTTGATTTGTCTGATGGCCATGCTGATTTCTTCAATTGTTGGTGGGCCAACATTGATTGGGAGGTCCGTGAGTGCTGCTCCGATGTTGGGTGGGTTCAGTGGAGCTGGTCGATTCAAGAGTTCTTTGAAGTGTTCTACCCACCTGTTTTTGTTGCTCTTCAATGTTGGTGATTACCTTGCCTTCCTTGCTTTTCACTGAGAAACACTACATCGGACAAAATAGACCCCTCTTTCATCTACGCTTGCATGAACATCAATTAGCGATCAAGTGCCGTGACATATCTTTCCTTATATTAATACATGTGCACAATTGTGGACACACATTCGATTGAAAAAAATATCGAAATCTTGAATAGAAGGACTACTAAGATTTGAGAAGTTTTAGAGTCTTGGAAATCAAGTCAACCAACAATCAATAAACACATCAAAGTCGATAAAATCTATCAACCAATCAGAGGAAAATCATGGACAAATGTAGGACAAGTAGGAGATTCAATAAAAATAAAAATACAAACAATTACAGATTAAATGTTACTTACTTACGCCTGTTACTCTTAATGGAGCATAGGCCGCCGACCAGCATTCTCCAACCCACTCTGTCCTGGGCCTTCTTTTCTAGTTCCATGCAATTCTTGTTCATTTTTCTCATGTTTATCTCCATTTTCCGGCGTAATGTGTTCTTAGGTCCTCCTGGAGCACCTCCGGGAGCTACTGCCGGTCCCAAGCCCGGGTAAAGGAGAAGGGATGGGCATGGGGTTAGCGACCGCATCCCGTAGAAAACTAACTCGCTAAAAAAACGCTAATCAGAAAAAATTATTCAAACATTAAACGTCAACACTAACTAATCAAGTTCGAGGTCGACAAGATGAAATGTTAGTCACGTGTGAAGAAACTCGAATACCTCACTTCTACCATAAGTTTATTTACCTATGATGTTGTAATTCAGTAAAATAATGTAAGCTGCTTCATCATTAAACTATCCAGATCAGCGAAACTAAACTCCATCAAAACTAGTCCTTTTGTTTAGGAAATTGAAATTAAATATTTTCACATGTAGATTGTTACATCCTTTTGCAAATCGATCTTGATAGCTTGTTGTATTACTATGGTAATAAATATGAGCTAAATTCGTGTCTAGTTGAAATGTGTCAATAATTCTGCTTGTAAAACTTGCTAGATGGATATATCAACAAATGGCAGCAATTCTGGTGTTTATTTATTTGATTTGGGCTAGAATCTAGGATTTGGTAAAAGAGTAGGTGAAAAATATAAGTGAAAATTACAGGAAAAAAAACCGAAATATTAGTGATAGTAATAATAGTCTAGGAGGATTTGTGGAGACTGTAGAGTTTTCGTGGTTTAAATCAAGAACTGATCTTAGCTAGATCACCATGGGGAACCTGTAAACACTGAACCACCGTTTTGTTATATCATGGGACCCCTCAGTTCATGATTTAAAATTACGAAATTCTTACTTTCTCCACCAACCCCCCTATTATACTAATAATAGTTAGGTGCTGATTAGTGACTAGGTTGATGATGCAACTACTGGAGTTCTAGTGCAGTCCAGTCGGTGTATAGTGTGAGACAGTTATCCATCTCAACCAGTGGATGAGAGTTGCGCAACTTCGTAAATTGATTGAGGTTAGACTTGTACACTATTGCACGCTTATGTTATTAGACATAGGGCAGACATTTCAGCGTACATCCCTATTGCATATACTTGCAGACAAAGCTACACAAACTGCGACTCATGAGATTCATATACAGATCTGGCAGCCCACAAGATTTAGTGAACCTCGAAGTTGGAACTCGAGTAGCCCACATTACAACAGAATGTGGAATCAATTCAATCTCTGTCGATTGCTTAAAACTAGCTAGCAAGGTTTCCCCTACTACCTAGCAGCTCCACGAGCAGACCTTGGGTTGTATTTTGCCGACTTAGATAGACATAAAATGATAAAAGGTCTCTTTTTGTACTTGTACACTATAAAATAATGATGATTTGAAATATTCTGTATTGTTTATATGTAGGATAGTAACAGTTATTAATTGGATATGATATGGTATAAAGTTTTTATAATCATCTTAAAAATATTTATTAGTTTATTGTTATTGCAATCAAGTCTCTTGCTATTTTTTCTCGTAATTTATTGTATAATTTTTCTAAGGATACCATTCATAATGTAGATTAAAATGTTTCTTTGGGAATGGAATCTTCAGTGTTATTTATAAGAAGTATTATTCTTCTCATTTTAGAATAAACTTAAATCCTATATGACACTAGACACTAGTTTTATCTTCACGGTTTGACTTTCACTACACATGCACACAAGTAATGTTTACGTGATGAGCAGTAGATTTAACGTCCAATTATAATTCACTGATGATCTATCAAGGGATCGTAGCAACTTTGTTGTTCTACTGCAGCATTAAGTTAGATGTCCAGGTTGCAAATAACATGGATAGTGTCTGATTTTGTCATAATTAATATGAAATTAACAAATCAAAAGGTATATAGTTACAATTGGAAATATAAAGCTATGGATCACTGATTAAAGATGTTCGACTTTTAACTACTAAGTCATTAATCTGAACTTCATCTATTTTGATAACTGAGTGGGGTATCATCACGTCTAACACTTGAACTGGACATAGAGAGTCCACCTAAAGGAGGTGGAAATCCCTGATTCTAAACCAATGGTGTATATGAGCTCCAGGATCCTGAGTGAACAAATGGCATATGAACCAATCGTTGGTCACCGACTACCATGAGACTGCATTTCTTGATGTTGCTCCACTACCTTGTGGATCAGACCTTCAGGTCGAAGGCTCCGAAGTGTGCCCGCTAAGAAAACCACCTGCTTCGGTTTGGGCACCTGAACAGTATCCCAGCCCCCACACAAATCGAATGATTTATGTGGAGCATATCTGTTCAGTGCCTCTTTGTACCGATGTTTATGTCTTTAAATAAATAAATACAAATAAACACATGGAGTGTATGTAAACATTAAGTACTTGAATATGTACCTGATTACTGCGTTGGTATGAATCACAGTTATAAATAGGAATTCTTTATTGCTTTTTTAATCGAATGAATTTATTTCTGGTTATTTTTTATCTTTTGTTTCATTCAAGAACATGTTTTTCTTTTTACTCTTCTAACCAAACTAGTTCTTGCACCGGTACCTGCTATATTAATCTGTGCTCTAATACGTATCTGTTCACAGAAACGTCAATTAGACATGATTGAAGATAATAATAATAATAATCATTATAATTTTAATATAAATAATCTTAATGAATGTTCAACAGTAATATCCAGTTCCACAACAACAACTACTACAAATCATTGTGATAAATGTTTACATATGCAATACAAAAAATTACCTAGTAATTATTTTATAATTAAACGTAAATTACACAATTATCGAGGAAGTATACCGGGACTATTGAATCGAATAAATAAATTATCTAGTGTTACCGAAGTTGATGATGAAATTGATCCCAATATAGATCAACAAGTGAATATATTGAAAATGAAACCATTGAATAATACTACTACTAATATAATAATAATAATAATGTTAAAACAAAATTGGCAAATAATTCAAATCATTGTGGTAATTCATTACAACATTGTTATTCCTTACCTGAATTTACTATAAAACATGATGATAACGATGACGATGATGATGATAAATTCAATAGTGATTTGATGTGTTATAGTGTTAACAATGTGATTATTTCCAATCGAAATTTTCATGCAATCAGTACTTGTTCAAGTCGTGAAGCAAGTTTCGATGAGGATGATGATAATGATGACAGGCTTAATATCAATCAACATCTTATTACACATTATCAATCGCTAGAAACATGTAATAAAAGTAAAAGTTGTGATAGTCTACATGAAATAAGTACAAAAAATGAAAGAATGAATTATTTATCGATTTCTCCTTGTTCTTCCACTTCATCATCAATCGATCGTAATAATGATGAGAATAAAAGGAATCATGTAGTAGGTTTTCTTTTTACTTTTTATTCATTGTATTTTATGTTTTGAGGGAGTTTTACAAAATTTATGCCGAAACAATACTGATAAGATTTAAAATAGGTGAATGGTGACTAACTGTAAAATCTAGGAAGCATGTTTTATACTGTTTAAAACTAATCAGAGGAAAGTACCGTTATCCCCAGTACCTTTACACTGAAAATATCATATTCGTTTTTTCTTTACAACAGAAACAGTATATGGTAAGATGATTCTGTATTATTGCTCAGATTTCTCTGCTATGTCAGCTATTATCCTTTGATCTTATTTAACTAATATTGACTTAATTAGATACCTAGTATTTATTTGTTTAAACACAAACATTGTCAGAAGGGGTTTTGTGGAGATTTTAGTAATTTCAATAGTTGAAATCATGAGTCAATTGAAGCTAGACCACCATGGAAAACCTGACAGCACTGGACGGCCGTTTCATCCTAGTGTGGGACTACTCAGCTGTGCGCATCCACGATCCCGCCCCCGCGAGATTCGAAGCCAGGACCTATCAGTCTCGCGCCAGGCGCTTAACCAACTAGACCACTGATTCGGCATCCAACGGTGTTAATGTCTAACTTCAACCAATCCACGAAGTTGCGCCACCGTACACCATTGTCTTCAGTGAGTTGATATCTCACAACAGACCTGGTTGAACTCCACTGGTAACGACTTCTCACTAGAACTCCAGAAGTGTCTCCTGAAGTCAGTCACTAGTGAGCAGGTGATTATTATTATCAGAATGTGTTTTGTGGAGATTTTTAGAAATTTTCACAGATTGAACTCATGAGTCAGTTGAAGCTAGACCACCATTGGAAATCTGGAAGCACTGGACGGCCGTTTCGTCCTAGTATGGGACTCCTCAGCAGTGCGCATCCACGACCCCGCACCACCTGGGGCCCAAACCCAGGACCTACTGGCTTCGCGCGCGAGCACTTAACCATTAGACCACTGATTCGGCATCCAACGGTGTTAATGTCTAACTTCAACCAATCCACCAAGTTGAGCCACCGTACACCATTGTCTTCAGTGAGTTGATATCTCACAACAGACCTGGTTGAACTCCACTGGTAACGGCTTCTCACTGGAACTACAGGAGTATCTCTTGAAGTCAGTCATTAGTGAGCAGATGACATCTATCTATCTTAAAACCTTGAGCTATATTTGTAACCAATAATGGCGTTTGTTTGCTCATCATTTGGCCTGTTTAATCCTCACAATATGTCAAATAAGTATTGAGTAACTTTGGTATTAGGTCTTTGTTAAATTTACATTTCCCTATTCTTCATTCGGTTAATAATTATTACTGCGATCTACATTTAATGTCTTACTTATGTGTGTCTGTGTGTGTGCACATGTGTGAGAAGGAAGTTTGTGCTTGTAGGACGATTACTACCTTCTTGTTTCTGTTTGCCCTCTTGAGATGTTTGCAGATATGACTCGGAATAGAAGTCAGTGGTGATCCTGCTGTCACTTTCTTCATCAAAGTAAAAGTAAATTCTTTTACAGAAAGAATCATTTCTGGTTGTATTTTCCTAATTCAACTGTTTGTATTATTATTATTATTATTATTATTATTATTATTATTATTATTATTATTATTATTATTATTTATTATTATTATTATTATTATTATCTGACTTACTTACTTACGCCTGTTACTCCTAATGGAACATAGGCCACTGACCAGTATTCTCCAACTCACTCTTTCCTGGGCCTTCTTTTCTAGTTCCATCCATTTCTTGTTCATTTTTCTCATGTCTATCTCCATTTCCCGGTGTAATGTGTTCTTTGGTCTTCCTCTTTTCCTTTGACCTTCAGGATTCCATGTGAGGGTTTGTCTTGTGACGCAGTTGGGTGCTTTCCTCAATGTGTGTCCTATCCACTTCCAGCACTTCTTCCTAATTTCTTCCTCCACTGGGATCTGGTTTGTTCACTCCCACAGTACGTTGTTGCTAATAGTGTCCAGCCAACGGATCCGAAGTATTTTGCGTAGACAACTGTTAATAAACACCTGTATTTTGTGGATGATGGCTTTCGTAATTCTCCAGGTTTCCGCCCCATACAGTAGAACTGCCTTGACATTTGTATTGAAAATCCTGACCTTGGTGTTGGTTGACAGACAGTTGCTTTGAGCTCTAGATGTTCTTCAGTTGTAAATATGCTTCTCTTGCTTTGCCGATCCGCGTCTTCATATCTGCATCAGATTCACCGTCTTATTTCACTCACATACACTAATTTCTGTTTGTTGTTACTCTTCTTCTGTATATATTCATCTTTCTTTTAACTATCTCTTCACAACCTCATTGTATTTGATGTCGTTCCCCCAATGTACGAATGTTTATGTGTTTAAATAAATAAATAAGTAAATAATCTAAATTAGTGATAGTATGAAGAATACCTTTTCATCTTCTTAATAGGATATAGTTAGGTTAGTTGAACAATATCATTATTATTATTATTTTTTCTTTCTATATCCTATTTTCTTTTTTAATGAGAAGATTTTATCTGATTCCCCCAGTGACAACAATAGTCAATTCATCATACAAAAATTTCCTAAAACAATCATAATATCCAATCAATATTCTAATAATGAATCATTATCACATTTCAAATTGAATATGAGCGCTCAATATAATAATCAATATCATGATGATGATGATGATGGTGGTGGTGGTGCTGTAATAGAACATGATTATTATAATCAATATCAATCAAGGAATCATTCATTATCTGATTCAACAACATGTAATTCTCAAGAGAAATTCAATGAAATACCAAGAAAACTTTCAACATTGACAAAATGTATAAAGCATATTCATCAATTCATGAATTCTTCATTTACATTTGGTAATTATTTAACAAATAAACATGTATATAATAGTCAAACAAAATTATTAATGATGGAATCGAAGTATAATATATTTCATAATAGAAGTGAGTGAATAATTTAAAATTATATTGTTAAATATTATTCTATGGATTAATGACTCAAGATTTGAGAGAAACTTACATACATACTTACTTACACCTGCTACTCCTCGTGGAAGGCTCGACTAGCTTTCGCCAACTTGCGTCATTTATGGCGTAGGCGAGATATCCATCTATCAACCAAAGGACGTGTTTACTGCGCAGCAGTTCGTTCCATTCTACTTTATGGCAGTGAAACATGGCCGGTAAGAGTAGAGGATATTCGTAGGTTACTAGTATTTGATCATAGGTGTCTTTTAAACATTGCTCTCTGTGTTCTCCGAAATTCTAATCTTCTGAATTCTTCATGTCCCTTTTTCCTCTTTCCAAATTTATTTCACTGGATTATACTCTTTAAATAACATCTCCAAACCCTAATCTTCCCGATTACTGCTTATACTCTTATTACCTCTACCACTACAGGATTTGAATCGACAACTGCATCTCTGTGCTAATGTGGTGTGGCAACTCGAACTGATGTACGTACGTACGAAGTTCTACGTTGTTACTGACTGACTGACTGCTACTCCTCGTGAAGGAGCATAGGCCGCTCATCAACATTCGCCATCCAACCCTGTCCTGGACAATCCTTTCCAACTCCTTCCAGTTGTTATTCATCCTTTTCATATCTGCTTTTATTTCCCGACGTAATGTGTTCTTTGGCCTTCCCCTTTTCCGCTTTCCTTCAGGATTCCAAGTTAGGGCTTGTCTCGTGATGCAGTTTAACGATTTGCGTAGTGTATGTCCTATTCATTTCCATCGTCTTTTCCTAATTTCTTCTTCAGTTGGAATCTGATTTGTTCTCTCCCACAGAAGGCTATTGCTGATGGTATCCGGTCAATGGATGTTGAGTATCTTGCGTAGACAATTGTTTATAAATACTTGTACCTTCTTGATGATGGTTGTAGTAGTTCTCCAAGTTTCAGCTCCGTACAGTAGAACTGCCTTGACATTCGTATTGAAGATTCCGCCTGTAGCTCTTTTAGAGTTACTGCCGTTCACAAGCCCGGGTAAAGGAGAAGGGTTGGGCATAGGGTTAGCGTCCCCATCCCGTTGAAAACTAACTCGCTAAAAAACGCTTACCAGAAAAAAATAATTTGAAACAAAGTATGGAATATTTTAGTTGGGGCCCCTTTATTTTGTCGTCATTTGAGATCGCATGATGTTGTCGATGGGTTCACCAATTTAGTGTCCCGGGATCTGACTCCAAGTAGATGGTATGAACGATTGTTAGTCGCGGCCCGGAGAGCTCAGTGGTAACGTTTCTGACTGTTAAGCTGGGTGACACGGGGTCAAATCCGCCAGGGAGGATCAGTTCCCTCAAGATTACAGGTACACCTTGCTGACGAGTGCCAAGTAGCGTGAAACCCGGGTCCAGGGTTTCCTGTCGACTACCTCCAACCGCCATCTAATATATATATATATATATATATATATATATATATATATATATATATATATATATATATATATATAGTCTTGTATCACACAGATTCACAGTAAATATATACGTGCATTTTGTCATACTACTGTAATTTTTGCATAAACAATGGGACACAGTTAAACGAGTTTAAAATTTTTTTGTGTTATATGAAAAGCCCATCTTAATGGAATCCGGTAAACATCCATGATTTATAGAGGACACCTGAGATAGGGATGAATATCTATCGACTGATATTGCTTGAACATTATTACATATGCTTGTCCACCTACTATCTCGGCGTGCCGATGATGGCTAGTATAAAAGCAGGTTGGAAGAAAGCCGAGAGCGGACAAATACAAGACACGGCATCAGTTCATAAGGACACTGACCATTAGACTGAGCCATGTAAGTAAGTGCAGATTACGTGGTTGAGTTTCATGTGATTATCGTAAGCAGTGGTTAGAGATTTTGAATAACATGACTTTAAATCGTTCACAATGGCTCATTTGTATTTAATATTTGTCCTCCTTTAGATCCTAGATTTCTAAATATTCCTCATATTTTTGTTTTACTTCACTGATTTATATTTTCTCGAATTATATCTTTGATAACTAGTGTTTCCTGTCACTATTAATACTGTTATTATCTCTACTACTCTGTGATTGGTTTTGACTATCTCGTCTCTCTATGCTTTGGCAACTTGAACTGATGTCCACATATTTCAGGTTCCACGTTGCGTTTGTCTGACTTATGGCGAGCTATAAAACAAATGTATTGATCGATTATTAAAAAATAGTTGTTAACAGTGTTGCGAACACTTTCAATGAGAATTTATTTGTTTAAACAAATAAACATTGGTACAAGAAGTCACCAAATAGATATGCGCCAAATAAATCACTCGATTTTTGTAAAGGCTAGGATACTGTCCGGGTGCCCAAACTGAAACAGGTGGGTCTCTTAGGGGACCAAACGCGGAGCCTTCGACCTGAAGGTCTGATCCACAAAACAGTGGAGCAACGTTAGGAGGTACAGTCCCATGTTAGCCGGTGACCAACAATAGGTTCATGTGTCATTTATTCCCTCAGGATCCTGGAGCCCATGTGCAGTATTGGCTTAGAATCAGGGTTTACCCACTCCCCGGTTAAAGCATCAGATATTCGCTTTTCGTCCTCTGAATTTCGTAAACAACGTCCGTGGTTCTAGAAGGCGGTGAACAGGACTTCCCTAATAGTGTTTGTATACGCGTACCCATGTGAGGACATTTCGAGTGGGGTAGCTGACTCTTCACACTCTCGGCATTTGGGGATTAAGGTTGTAAGAATAAACAGCGATTGAACATGCACCACTGAGAACGATTCTGAGCCATCTCACCTGATTTCCTCTAACCACTGGTTATGATAACGCAGACCGCAACCATTTAGTCAACATATATTAGCTTGTCTCAATCCAATTGTCAATAGCTTTGATGGAATAGTGCTATTTCTTATTTTGGCCACTTTTACATTTCTCCCAACTTACTCCTACAACTGGCAGCGTCAACTTCAAGGTATACGGTGATTGAGCATGATGTTATTTCATCATATATTGTAATTTTTTGAAGAAATAGGCACATCTGCAAAATGATAAACTAAAGCGATTCTGTTGTCACGACAGTAGGAATGTCCATCCTGAATGTTAACATTATCAGTAAAAAGTAATCTTCGTATGTGATTTAGATATCAGGTGGAAACAAGTCATGATTAATTACAAAGCAAAGACAGATAGCTAATTCCATATTTTGTCATATGAATGACTAAATTGTAACTCTGATTCATTCGAGTTTTTTATTCTGGGTTTCACTTTATAAGCTGCCTGTATTAGTGCTAATAAAACTATTACGCAGTGTATAATCTGACTTTCAATTGTCGGTCAGATATTGTGTATCACGTGATCTAATATGCTCAGCCACAGTATCCAGTTCATGTTCACACACACAAAAACAAAAGTTACATACCATTAGACACCGATTCAATGTTCTTTAGGTTAAGCGTTCGTGTTCATGACTAACGATCCTGAGTCCGATTCTTGGCTATGGGGTCATGGATGCATACTACTGATTTTATTTTAACACATAGATATTGGTACAAGGAGGTATCAAATACATATGCGCCACACAGATCTCATTTGATTTGTGTGAGAGCTGTAATACTGCTCGAGTGCCCAAACCGAAGCAGGTGGTTTTCTTGGGGGGCCACACCCGGAGCCTTCGACATAAATGTGTGATCCACAAGACAGTGGAGCAACGTAATGTAGATGCAGTCCCATGGTAGCCAGTGACCAACGATTGGTTCATACGCCATTTGTTCCTTCATGATACTGAAGCCCATGTGCACCATTGGTTTGGAATGAGGGTTTTCCAACTCCCCCAGGTGGACTCTCCATATCCACCAACCCGGTTAAAGTGCCGGACATTCGCTTTTCGTCCTCTCAATTTCGTAGACAACACCCTCACCACGAAAAGCCAATGAGTAGGACTTCCCTGGCAGAGGCTATATACGCGTGTCCGTGCGAGAGCATTTCAAGAGGGAGAGCTCATAGGTTTTGAATGATTGTTTAACTTAAATCGATTTGTGATTTCAATAAACAGATACTGTTTTAGTTATGATTATTACTAATCCAGTTTATTTACACTTTTATTCAACAGATGATTGATTTCCTACGGATAATATTCAACTTGTATCTTTTTATGTTGATAAATGAAAAAATACTCTTCGAAACCTGCATTTTTGTACTTATTTTCCTGATGCTTTGAGAATCCTACTTTTTCTCATTAACAACTACTGTTGATGGGTATAGTTATTTCATTGTTTCATCTTTTTTTTCCGATTATACTCTTCAACCATTTCTAAACTCTGTTTTATGTTAGACCTTATGATCAAACCAAATATGAAATTGCATTTAGTTCTATTCTTATCGTCTACACAATTCTTCTCAATGTATTTTTTTAAAGTTTCTATTGTTGTTTTTTTTTTCTTTTCTTTTTCTGTATTTTTGTTTACATGTTTGTCCTGAATCATTCATATTTTACTGATTTTCTACTTTTATGCATAGATACATACATATATACATGCACATACAGACAGACAGACACACACACATACAACATGGTTCTTTTCTCTAGTTTTGTTATTGTATTATATGATTGATTTCATTGATATCGTTAAGTGTATATTCTCTTGTTACTAGTTCATAAATATGTTCTGTTGTTTGTTTTTTTTTTTGTTGCTTGGAAATGTTCCACACACAAAAAATATTTTGCATGATTAACATTCAGTATTATTTTGTCTATGAAATTAGTTTTAGAAACAAACAAAACAATGTGTGTATCTTATGTTTTATTTACTCTCCTATATACATACAAATTCTAATCGATGTTTCTGTTGTTGTTGCTGTTGTTGAGGTATTGACGAAGAAGAAATCAAAATGCTTACAATATAACTATAGTGATTTATTGTTGAAATTGTATTTAGTTGTGAATTCTTGTTAACGTTCGATTTTCATTGGAAAAATGTTACATACTAATGTATTATTTAGTCTTAGATAGTAGGTGAACATTCGTAAGGTCAATGTAATGTCACTCAAAGGTTGCACATAAATTATAGTTCTCACTGATGATGGTTCTTGATAAGAGAACATTTTTATTTATAGAATATTTATAGTATATATATCATAACAATCGAAATGATGAAGGTCAGTTTTACTTAACACTGTTAACAACTTATGGGTTAGGGATAGATTTTTCGCAGAGACTATAAATTATGGACGACCTCTCAGCGACGCTATGGTGACATTGTGAGTGTTCACCTGATAACTAGGGTCAAATGAGGATTATAAACCGATGCGAGGAATTCAAATTACGATTTACATTTGATGGTTAAGGTTATGAATTCGATTTACGGTTTTCACTATGAACTACTGATATAATCTATAATACCAAAACTCCATTTAGCAAATTAATGGGTGAATTTCGCGCCAAAATCCGAGACCGGTTATCTGAAATCTGATTGGTCCGTCCATAAATTGTCATATCGCCGATTTTCCATTTGTGATCACGTAGTTGAGCGGCAATTTGTTGATCATTAGAATGATTTATTGCTTATTATTAAACCAGCTCTCGGTTAAGTCGCTTGACAGGAGAGGATATACATTGTTTGTCAGTTTAGGTTATCGTACACAATGTACGAGATACATATATTCAATTCTAGGACGCAAGTACTATCGACAGAATTATAAATTGTGAAACGAAAAGTGTCACAAGACATTTATTCAATGTGTTGTATCTTTAAGCTCGGCTAATTATCACGTGATTTATTCGCCAATCGAAATACGACTTATTCAATCTTAGTACTTTGTCAAACCAATGACGTTCGACTGGTATGAGCAGCCTAGCGTCCCTATTTGTCGTTTGTGTTCCTAGCCCTTACAGTCGAGTCCAGAACGCCAATAACAACTTCCACTGTGTGAATCATTTATTTCAAACAGTGAATTATCAACCGGACCAATGACTCATGGGACAAATACGAACAGTCTAGAGTCCTTATCGGTCCTGCCTGTTAAGTCCAGGACACTAATCTCAACCTCCGCCATATCAATCATATATTTCAAACATACTTGGTTTATATAGTAGCCAAACAGACCGCATTATACCATAAAATAGGAAGTAACATTTATACAAGATCAAGCCAAAAAGTGGCTGTGAACGTGGGAGACGGTAATTAATAAACTGAGGACAACTTAGGAATAGTAAATTGTATCATCATAGTATATACGTGAAAATAAAGCTTATAATAAGAATACAGATATACAATAGGAATATATATATGTATAATATTAGTCCATCAATAGTTCTCAGAAGTTACCCGTAATTTTATCTTCACTAGGATATAACAATGCATTTTAGAAGTCACTACAGATTTCTAGCAAGAAGAACATGTGAGATTTTCGAAAGTTCTGTAACACTACGGTGGAACATCAGATTTTATGGTGACATCGGCATGGCAAACAAGCGAAATCCAAAAAGTAACAAGTTGTTACATTGTTTAGAGTAATCTTTCAACTCAATTACCTTCCCTTTCTATACATATTTCCGGAATTTCTTTTATATAGTTCCCAGATCGTTGTTTTATTATATGGACCCTTCGACTACTTTGAACAAAGATGAAAAAATCTCTAATTAAAAGTAGAAAAGAGGTCAAACATATGTTGATTGTTATGAGCATCAATGCATTTTTAATGAAAATAGTCTGCTTTAAATCTCAACCGATTATAAACCATAGACAAACTCGCAGTCAGTCAACCATCATTAACGAAGAATCTGACACAGACGTCCATTGACCAATGTTGTCAAACCACAATTAACACGACGAGAAGAAATTAGCAATGTGTATAAAGCATAGACATCAAAATAATATGGTATCAACGACTGAGTATTCGGAATAGCGAACGAAGTGACAGTGGGTAAAGGAATAAGTGGATTCAAGATTGAGAAGGTAAAGGGTGAATCCATCCACGCTACTGTGAATGATTCTGAGCCATTTCACCTAAAGCTTCTAACTACTGACTGGAGTTATCGCTTGGACCCCTGTTATATCCTAACGAAGAATAGTAATTGTTAAGAATTATTTATGGACTATTATAACCTATATTCCTATTGCATAATTTAAATGTATATTCAAATTATAAGCTTACATTTAACCTTTCGACTAGTCATATGATTTATTATCAGTTACAATTTCTCACAGTCACAGCCACTTTAAATTTGATTGTGTATAAGTGTTATTATTTTATCTTATGGTATGTGGTCTGGTTTCCTTGTATATAAACCAAGTATGTCTGAAATATACGATCTATACAGTGGAAGCTAATATTTGCTTTCTGGACTTGACGAGTAGGGCTAGGCGAGAATAACTAATAAGGACTCTACACTGCTCCTGCATATCAACGCTATTGGTTTGACACAATGTTCTAATTAGTAATTTAGTCACGTGATAATTAGCAAGGAAGAAGCCATAATAATCCCAACTATTTAGTCTGTATCTACCTAAAAGACCAAGATCAACAGTCAATGACTTCATAGTCTGATATCATGTTTTGGTTTGGAAGCTCCAGAAAAACTCATCGGTTACACAGAGCCAACATATACACCCCATTCTCCATATTATTTCAGCGCTCACTGTGATCATTAAAGCATAAACACTAAGGTTCTTGTTAGCGTTACTCGGGTTCAACCAAATGATGAACGTCCAAAATGACTAGATCGAAATATGATGAATATTCTTTTACGATTGCTTATAATAATCCGATTAAGATAATACTTTACTTATATGGTCTCAACTATTGTTTGCATATGTCAATTATTGAAAAGATCATGTTAACATTGAATAGTGTTTGCCAGTTTGTGACTCACAACTGGGCAACATGACAAATTAAACACATTTCAATTATTAATCAGAAATGTCAACTGTTTCAACACTGAATTCTTCCTCATTATTATTATTATTATTATTGCCATCAAGTAATATAACAATTCAGTCTCATTAAAAGACAATTACTATTTACACTGTTGTTATTCTGTTTTATTGTTTGTTTGTTGCATTTCACAATAATGAAATATCTAAATGCATAAGAATAAATTAATGTAGAAAAAAAAGAGAAAAACAAAAAAAGAACGGTTGTTACCTTTTTTGTTGTCAAGAGTTAAGTTAATCATTAAATGATCTATCTCCCTCCCCCCTCTCTCTCTCATATACACACACACATATATATATATAATGAATGAAAGAAAAATGATAATTGCACTATGGAAAATTGAATAAGAATAATAAATAATAGAGTGAAGAAATATTGATATTAGGATAAAGAATGATGAAATAGCCGATTGTCCATGAGATAATGTATGACAATCATAGAAAGAAATAGAATAGACAATTTGAAAAGAGAATAAGACACAATAAAAATGTAAGTCAAAATGAATTTTACAATGGAATTTTTGTACATTATTAAAAGTTTCATTTTCGGATGAATTCAATGATGATAATATTGTTTCAACATCACGAGGTACTACTACTAACTAACTAACTAACAAATTGTGCGTTATTACTAAATATGAAGAAAATAGTAGTATATTGTTAAGTTGTCATGTTGAAAATAGTACACATTGTTGTCCGATGGAAATATACACATCTATACAAATTAAGATACACACTCATACATACATACATAACACAACAGAAGAGAGGAAAATAGACAACTTCTCATTAGTTGATCAATTATTACATGTTGAACAAATAGACAACAACAACAACAACCAAAAAAAAGAAAGAAAAATGATCACTGTCAATAGTGTAATTAAACAGATCTAGTTTAACGTTGTTTTTTGTGATGACAGAAATTGAAACGAGATCAGTCAAGGAGACAAAAAAGAACAGACAAACAAATTGTTGAGAAGGTAAAACAAAAAAAAAGTGATTATGTAATGACAGGGAAAAAAGATTCACTGGATAGACAGACAATATGCAGAATAGATAATAGCAATATGTTGTATACAGTTGAAATGATGAAAGGGAGAAAAAAAAAGATGAAATAGTGTAGGAAGATTATGTAACAAAATACATCAATTATTTATTACAAATGTAAAACTGAGGTGGATATAC